TGCATACAAGAGGCCTGAGCCAAGCGATGAGGCTAATCCCTGGTAAACTCCTTAAAACCATCACAGAAGAAGGTCAGAGAGCATTTCCTTAAAACCCACAAGCCAGCACTGCTTGAGATGGCAGTGGCAGAACAAGTCTGATGTAAAATAACAAAAGGAGGTCAGATGATAGTCTTGAGCTCATAAATAGGACTGAAGGTAAACAGGGCAAGAGAATCCAGAAAGAGGATGAGGTGAGAGAGTTTGCTGCCTGATCATCAAGCTCATCTGCTCTTCTCCCGAGGCACACAGTTAAACTGCATTTTTCAGCCTCCCTGGAGGTTAAGAGTGAATCAGAGACAGGCATGAAAAAGTGATGTTTTTCACGCATTTCAGAAGAAGCCATAAAAACCTCCCAGGTTGCTAACTTCAGGCTCTTTTCCTATTTGCAACTCGTAGACTAGGAAATGACCTCAAGAAGGACTTTGAAGTCATCAGTGGAAGGTGGATGAATGACTTTGTGGATGAATCCAGGCCTGAGCTTGATTTCTTTCCTGGATGACCAGAAATACCCACAAGGGACTGCTAACTCTGAACGAGATAAAAACTTTGTTTTATTCCACTGAGCTTTGGAGGCTTAGCAAGTTAGAATGGTTAGAATTCGTAATTACAGCAGTAATTAATACGGCAAACTTACTGAGGTTTTGTAAATATTGATGAGTGCATTGAACAAGTATATAAATGTAACATATAATTATAAATAAACAGGACCAGAGAATTCGATGTCTTCTGTAAAACACCTAGGAAGTAAATTATGGAGTTGGCCTAGAACTCTGGTATTCCATGTCCAAGTCCTGATTCCTCTGGCATCCCATCCTGCAAAAGTACAAGCTAATAAGTCCCAACTTGATTCTAAGTCTTGAAAACTCATACTGACCAAGATATGTCAGAAAATATGAATTCTGTTTGAACTAAACAGAACCAATTAATGTTTCGTTACTAATTGGTCCACAAATGCACTGCTTTCAGCTTTATATTAAGCCCTATTTTAAATCAGATTCACAATAACTACCATGTAATTGATATCCACTGACATTTTAGTGAAAAGTAACCTTCTACTGGCTAATCTGGAATATTGCTAACATTTCCTTCATTTTAGCATATAACTTATCTTTCTAATGAATCCCTAATAGTATTTGGCATTGACTTTTCACAGTATAAAAATTGAACAATCATGCTTTTCTTCCTTATCTTAAATAATTTTTCTTATAAAAATTAATATATTTTTATTATAGAAAAACAATTTTTAAATCATTGATAGTGTCAGGCTTTTTATTTTTGAAATGGGAGGTTGCTGGAAAACAAGGGAAATGGACTACAATAATCTATGTAGCTGGAGTCATCAATATAAACTAATAGTTAGCTTAATATAGATACTGATAGTTATATAAAAATCATTACAGGTACACAACACACACAAATATATATAGATAAGTATACATCCATGTAACTTCCTTGCTTTGTCAGAGATTAGAAGCAATGATACCTCAATAACAGCCATCATATCTAGCACCCAGATCTTTGTAGTACCATTCTCTGATAAAACAAACAAAGGCTGCTTGGAGAAGTGGCTGATTCTAGGAAGGGTATAGGACAGATACACAAGATGAGCCTGTAGCATTATGTAGTACCAGGAAGTAGTAATATTTCTAGAAAAAAAAATCCCACAATAATGGAATATCAAAGGGACCCAGGAGGCAATTGAAAGAGTTCCTTTCAGTGGCCAAAGCTGGAACAATTTAAGCAAGAAAGTAGTTTCAAATTATAGTCCAAAGTAAAAAAGAAATATCCATGAGTCCATACAAATATAAATAAAAGACTGGCTGGATGAATAAATGAATAAATAGGTAGACAAATATCTTGTGCTCAAAATTTCCAAATTACATAAACTCCAACCTTAACGAGGAAGGAGATACAGCCTAACTCTCCACTCCTTAAGTGTAAGCTGCATTTAGTGACTTCTGTCCAAAGAATGCAGTGTGGAGGATAGTAAAAGACTAACTTTACAGTGGAGAAACCTGAAAAATGCTACTGCAGTTGAGTGATCAAGGTTCACATCAACAGTGATAAGTCACGTTGATACAATGCACCCTTGATATGATGTGATGAAAATGGCACTTTACCTCTGGGTTCTTCCTCCCAAAAGTCTCCTAGCCCCAGTCAAATCATGAGAAGAATATTAGACAATTCCCAATTGAGGGACATTCCACTAAATATCTGACCAATATTTCTGAAAACTGTCAAGCTCATCAAAAACGAGGAAAGTCTGAGCAACTGTCATAGCCAAAAGGGTCTTAAAGAGACAAGACAACTAAAAGCAATGTGGTATCCAGGATATTAATATTGTATTAATGTTGGTTCATTAAAAATTTACCAAACTAATATAAGATATTAATAACAGGGGAAACTGGGTGTAGGTTATAAGGAAACTTTCTACAGTATCTGCCAATTTTTCTTTCATCTAAAGCTATTCTATAATTAATGAATACATTATTTTACAAATTCACCACAATTCCAACATCTAGCAATAAACAGAAACCTTCTAATATATCCTTCATCTTTTTTCCATGTGTATATTTTTATTTTTTAAAATGGTTTCATATTGTACATAATTCTTCAGTTAATATTCAGTGAATGTATTTCCATGCCATTACAAGTCTACAATATGATTTATATTTATGTCAGAGTAGTTCATCTCAGGTATATCCCATACATTATTTAGTCAATTATACATTGGCATTTTTATTCTTCCCTAATTCTATTAAATTTATTGAAGAAGGAAGTGTAGGAAATGAAGAGAATAAGATAAAAGACAGTAATACTGACATATTTGTTTGTTGTGAGAAGAGAGTAGACTGCCTGATGCTACCAAGGGAAATATAATGAGCTGAAAAGCAAGACAGCCAGACACCAGTCTCAGCTTCAGAGAACTCTGAGGGTGGCCTTGAAGTCACTTAATCTCTGCCCTTTCTACTGTCCTTATTTATAAAATGGACTTGACAAGTTATGCAACAATGTCCATTTCTAGACTCTATTATTGAATATTTTGCAAAAAGGCTATTTAAAAATGTCATGTAGAGGATATAACCAAGTATATTTAATGTAATAAAGAAGGTATAGAAAATGAATGATAGATACATTTCCTCTACTGTATAGCCAAAAATTTCCCATCATGTGGCACTAATGGAATATATCATATAAAGTGATGTAAAGATCTTACAGCTGAATGCAAAAGTGACTCTTTCCACTGAAGAAGAGGTAAGACTAGTCTATGAATGTAGCAAAGAGATTGAGTTTGACTGAATACATGAAAAGGCAGTCTAACAACAGAATAGCCTTCCTAGAAAATTTGTGAATTCAGGAATGCTGTAGCATGGGGCAGATGGAGAACTACCAGAGATAATATAGAAGCTATTCCTGTAATCAGTAGAAATTCAAACAGAATGGCCGCCAAGGTCACTTTCAATTTTAAAAGGGTGGAATTTTTATTTAATCTCATATATGATACTTTCTTTTAGACACTTGTCCTTAAGCATCGTTGCTGTTTCTGAGCTCTCTGCTGTCTCATTGGTCTCTCAACTGAAGAATCAATTCCAATAGAAAAAAAATAAAAGATATCTATTATGACAAAGAGTCCTTAGCTTGTTTGTATGCATAGATGGGTCCCTCTCTAAGTGTCTAATGAAGAATGGGCACTTTCACTGTTATCAAGAAAGTGTGCACGGAACATCTCTTGAAACTCAATCTTTTCTATGAAGTCATTCCAAAAAGAACAGAAACTTTGGAAAGCAAATCTCCAGTTCACAATCACACTTTAGCGTTTGCCCTCGAAATTTCTTCATACCCTTTCCAGAACACGAACTTGCAAAAACCCCAATACATAATACACACACACACACACACACACACACACATTAATATTAAAGTTTTCAAAGCTGATCCGATCTGAAGCTAAGAATTCCTCACCTTCACACTTTTGGATGCTGAAGGAGGAATTGTATCTGGGGGGAGTTTTCTTTCTTATAAGGTGAAGGAGATTCACTGTTTCCTACAAGTGACTCCAGTGGGATTCCCTCTACCCACTCAACTCTTTTTTTTTTTTTTTTTTTTTCAGGCAGAACTACCTGGTGTGTGTCTGGAAGTGTCTGTTTCTGGAATTCCACTCACAGGGGAAAATTAGCCTAAACTAAATAGCTTGAAACAGTCTTCATGGGTGGGGAGTGCAAGGGGACATTGGGAAAAGGGAACTGAAATCAGCTTTAAGAACTTACTGTCTTTTAACCTCAAGAATACAGAAAGTGAATGTAACATTTTATGGGGACCTCATACTGCCTGTAGATTTTCACTTTCAACACACACACACACACATGCACATGCACACACACACAGGCTACTGCTATTGGAAAATGCCTCCTCTCCAGCCACCAGAGCAAGGAAGAAATCCAGACAGTCCCAACGCACCAGGGATAGATGGGGTCTCCGCAGCCCTCAGCTGCAGCGGGCTGGTCTGTGGAATCACAGCAAGAAAGGTGTTGCGAGGAAATCCCTTGCATGCTGTGTGGTGTGTTAAAAATGCAGCATCATCCTCTCTGCTCCTTTTCTTCACTGAAAAGCAGAATTCGAGGGCACGGGGAAACTGGAGGGGCGAAAAGGCTGCCTCCTGGAGCCCTGCAGCCCTCTCGCTCCAAGTCCCACTCCTCGGGCTCTAATTGCCCCTGCTCCAATGGGCCAGCAGCACCTTCCCCATTTCCTCTTCCATTCACTCCAGCGGGGAGGGAAGAGGGAACACAAAACTCTAAAAATAACTGACAGCATATTAAAAAAAAGGAAAAAGCTTATCTGCCCCCGCTACAAACACCCCCAACGTGCTCCCGCCCTTTCTCCCTCCTCTCCCCCCCCCAACCCCCCTCCCGTATGGGGCACATGTCTGCTTCTTACAACACCGAGGCACATGGTTCCAGTTAGGCACCGAACACCACCAGGACAGAGAGGAAATCCACATCTGTGGGACGCTCCGCACGGAACCACCTCCAGCGAGGGAGGCCAGGGGACTGCAGCACCGAGATGAAGGGCTAGACTGAGGGAACGCTGCTCATGCGGTGAGAGCCAGCGCGGGAGGCGGCGAGGGCGCGGGGAGGCCGGGGAAGGGGTGGGCCCCGCGGCGCCCCCGCAGCGCCAGCCGCCCGCCCCCACGCGCGCTGTCGATATTTGCCCGCCTTGCTGCAACTTGCTGCAGTGTTTGAAAGAGTAGTAGGAGCGCATGGAGGTGGGGCCGGGGAAAGACCAGGCGGAGTGGTTGTGGGGTGAGCGCGGAGTGGGTGGGGAGGCGGCGGCGGTGGGGAGGGGGGACTGGCCCCAGGGGGTGGGATGGGGGAGAGCAGGGTAGCCCGGCGCTTACACATGTCACATGTGCTTTTTAAGACGGCCGGGAGCGCCTGCGAGCTGGATCTGGTGGAGGATGCTGCGGCAGGTGCTTCGCAGAGGGCTCCAGTCGTTCTGCCACAGGCTGGGCTTGTGCGTGAGCCGGCACCCGGTCTTTTTCCTCACCGTGCCCGCAGTCCTGACCATCACCTTCGGCCTCAGCGCGCTCAACCGCTTCCAGCCCGAGGGCGACCTGGAGCGCCTGGTCGCTCCCAGCCACAGCCTGGCCAAGATCGAGCGCAGCCTGGCCAGCAGCCTTTTCCCCCTGGACCAGTCCAAAAGCCAGCTCTATTCGGACTTACACACCCCTGGGAGGTATGGCAGGGTGATCCTCCTCTCCCCACCCGGGGACAATATTTTGCTCCAGGCTGAGGGGATCCTGCAGACCCACCGAGCCGTGCTGGAAATGAAGGTGAACCACAAGGGCTATAATTATACTTTTTCCCATCTGTGTGTGTTGAGAAATCAGGATAAGAAATGCGTGCTGGATGATATTATTTCAGTGCTAGAGGATCTCAGGCAGGCTGCCGTCTCCAATAAGACAACAGCCAGGGTGCAAGTGAGGTATCCCAACACTAAATTAAAGGTATGCTCCTTCTGCATGCTTCTGCCAATTAAAGAGGCAGCACTTCATTTCTTGCCCTAAACAAGCAAAGAAAATGCAGAGGTCTCATCCTTAAGACTCAGAAGCTAATGCTTCTTTCATTTCTGGGGGGAAACGATGGGCAACTGAGTGGAGAAAACAGGCAATGAACGGTATGACTAGATACTAAGAAATTCAAGGCCAAACAAAATAAGTGCCAAAAACCAAAAAATAAAAAAAAAATTTAAATTAAAAAAAAAAAAAGTTGTTTCTGAGACCCTGCAATTACATCTTTGTTCAGGGTTAATAAATCAGTGAATGGAAGGGGGAGGGGGAATCCTGAACAATTTGTGGGATTTCTTTTCATTATGGGGCTCAATGTATTTCTTATTACTGATTACACATCCACCTCATGTCATATCCACCTATTTACATCTTCAGCCTGGCTTGATTGTTAACATGTGGGGAGTTTGTGTTTTGGTGCCGTGTGAGTGTGTGTCTGAAAGCATTGAGTTATGAATGTAGTAGAGATTCCAGGAATGATGTGTATGTGCGTTTGCATAACAAAAGAAGCAGGAATTTTCTATGTATAAAAATAGGAATGTGCACCTAACTGATGTACTACTTAACTGGACCCAGCGATCTTCCTTTCCCATAAAAAATTCCAGATGAAAGCAAGATTATTACAAGAGCCCAATAACAAAAAGAAAGAAAAAAAATCACAGTCAGCAAAATTTACAAAGAATGGTCATTTCAGCATGAAATACATTGTGCTGTTTAGACTCTCAATTTAAATTTTATTGTTCAAATGAGATTTCTAAACTCATTCTACACTGCCAAGATTGAGCTGCTGCAGGCAATGAGGCATGCAGTCTCCAGGTGACTGAAGTTTCAGGGACAAATGTGATTTCCAAAAGAGTCACTGCACCATTTGTATGCTTGACCCTGTGCATGCCCAGAAGCTGCACAGCCAAGAACTCCCAAGACAGGTGTTTCCCAAGAAGAATAAATTTTTTCTTAATGTGTGTGAGGATATGTGTGTGTATCTGTGGAGACAGTGAAATAGAAGACCCCAGTTTCAATAAATGAATGGCCTAATATAGGAAATCACTAATATTCTTACTTATTTGATACAGTCAGCATCTATACCTAATAAAATAACTTTTTCAGAAGTTTTGAGAGAAAAATATCTTTTTCCTAAATTGAAGGAGGATTCAATGCACTTCGAAACTAGAGATTCCTCAGGAAACCTTATAACCTGCCTTTTTTTTTTTGAACATGATGCCCTCATTTAAATGAATTCAAAGGCTGACTAGGGTTTCAGCTTTACAAAGCTGAGCAGTCTCTTGATGCTTGGTGAAATGAAACAGATGATTTATCAGCTTTAATTCTAGGTTAGGGCTTGCCTGCTTCAAACTTATTGATGGGAGCATGATGGATATGTGTGGTTAGGGAGCATGCTTTTCATTTCCCGAATCCTTTGCCATCACCATTATTGCTTGCTAAGGAAAAGGATGTGGTGGAGAGGTAATCTTCCTAACATATACTCTTTTAATTGAGCTTTTTCCTATACCAAACACCTGGAGTGAAGAAAGATTTGAAACTCTGTCAAGTTTAAACTTTGGTTTGTTTTCCTATGGATTCAACTTTGCATTATTGCTTGGGTCCTCTGCTGCTTTTATTCAGCGGTATTCTCCAGGTGTAAAATTTTTGTTCAATCAGCCACCGAGGATATTTTGTTTTCTGGCAATATCATTATGCTATTTACAGTATCAAGTCCCTGAGGTATTTAACTTACTCATTTAATAATCATTGGTTTTACTCTTCTGATTTATTAAATGCTCTTCTAAGCATGTGAGACAGAGTTTGGGGCAAGAAAAGCAAAGTTCTCATTCTCATGAGGCTTAACAGTAGTAGTCTGGGTGACAGAATGAGACACTGTCCCAAAAAAAAAAAATGTAGTGGATGTCAGTGTTCTCACTAGAGTAATCTGCAAGCAGGAACTCTGCAATCTTTGAGTTCACCATTGATTCAGCAGCATGCTAGGCCTATAACAGGTGCTCCACGAAAGCTCTATGCTATTTGGTGGTTGATATACATCTTAGTGGGAGACAGAGGTTAATTACAAAAGAAGGGAATAATTGATTACAAATGTTAATAGCATAATAGCATAAAAAGAACAGAAGCATTACACATTAGCTAAAGTTCTTATTCTGCAATACTCTAATATCTATCAATGTTTCCTCAAATGTGTTGGCTTGACTCTCTCTGCATGGCATCACTGGGATCTTTAAACTATGTTTGGGTAAATTGGGCTTTTCAGATCTTCTGAGACCAATGGGCCCTCTCAAGTGTCCAGACACAATCTCACATAATATAAAATATAATAGGTAAAACATAATCTTAAGAGTACCATGGATGCCTAGAATCTTGTCAAAAAGTCTCCAGGGGCTCCCAGGATCAGAACTCTCTGGCAGAGAGCAAGATGAGATGGACTTTTGTTTTAATTACATGTTATTTGGAAATTATTTTGGTTCCTGTTTTTCAGGGGCTCACAAAGTGTGCTTCTATGATGCTGATACATACTAATGTGAAAAAACTCCTCATACGCAAGATTTGAGGAACAATTTTATATGTGTATTTTTTAGCCCTCAAATTCATTTTGCTTTCTCCTGTTCTGCTGGGACACCTCTCTTCCCAACTCTGACCAATATGAAAAATTTTGGTACTGGAGAATGCTATTGGTAGGCAGAAAATCAGGAAATTGCAGAATAAGTAGGGGTGGCTGCATGAGTATGAATTGGCAATTACTTGACATAAAAGAAGCAAGTCTGTGTTTAGGGACAGGCTGAAGATGTATAAACACTGGTTGACCGACAGAAGTGGTCAGAAACCTTTGTTATAACAACAGAAGGTCATCTTTCAAATATTATTAAGACACCCAAGGAGTCCTGGACACAGAAAGGTTTAGAACTTCTGATAAACATGATTATGTTGACAAGGTGATCCAGACAAGCAGGGACACAGAAAGGTGCCTTCTATGGAATTCCAAACAGAGGCTTAGATAAATCTGGTATGAAAAAAGCAGCCATTGACTTAGAATACCACAGAAGAAATGGAACATATACGCAATTTCAAAAGCTGTGTGGAAAAGATGCCAAAATCTGCAATCCCTACATCTATATGACATGACCTCTACAATTATTCCCTTCATTACAATCTTTCTTTTATATCCCTCACTAGGCACAAGAATCATATCATATATTCTTTCTGTACTGTTCACTTTCCTCACCCCAACCTAATCCAGTTCCATGTAGATAATAATCACAACAAATAGTCATTGATTAATTTATTGATAAATTTGTGCATTTATACTGCTACCTCACAAAATTATCTTCACTTTTTTAACTTTTATGGCCTGCTTTTATTTTAAAGGTATTCTTCATATTCTACAGCTATCTTTAAAGTGCTTTTGACCTGAATATTTGGGAGCTATTTTTTTCACCTGTGAAAATATACATATTATACTCATATAAAGTAATAGAAATGGGCAGACTGAACTTTTAAGTAAAATACTGAACATGTTGTTGAAGTCCACCTCTTGATTAAAGTGAGATAGGCATTCAGAATCTTTAAGCAAGGGCAGTTCTGGACTCTAAGAAATGTTTTCACTGTCAGTCAAGGAGCTCGGGTGTTTACAGGTAATATTTCCCTGCTTTTTAGATGGGCCATCATAACCTCACCTGGTTAGTTCCAGGAAAGTAAGAATTCTCATTTGTCCCCAGTTTTTCATTTTAGCTGCAGTAAAAGACGTAGGTAAAGATTAAGCAGATGAATGTGGTTCCTTTGATATGGATTTGATTCCAAGTCTAGATCCCAACGTCCTGGCAAATGGTGATAGAGGAACGAAGCAAATCCTCTATCTGATTTCCCTGAATCCTGATGTTCCCATTAATAACCACACCTCTGAGCAGAGGTTAAAATGAAATCAGTATGTACTTCAATGTATCACATTTGAAATAGGAGCAAAGATAGACCTTCCTGCTTCTTAACAGAAGACAGTATTTCTTTGGGTACATTTTGGGTGCATGCTCCAGGTTTGGAAGATATTGCCATTAACTATTTAGCTCTGGTCTCAATGGAACAGTAATTTAAGTCAACATGAAAAGTGAGGACCAGCATTACTTAGGGAAATTTTCAAGCAAAGTTATGCTATGGAATTCTTTCTCTAATTCTAAAACTTTATAAGATAAACATGTCAGGATCTTCTCTGATATTTTGATTTAAGCTTACCTTTCTGATTGAGAAAAACATCACTACATTACTGAATGTTCAGTTTGTATCCTACATGGAGCTAGGTGTTTTATACACACATGCTATTTAATTTTTACAAGTTTTTAAGTCAGGAGGATTATTTCTGTTCCCATTTTATAAAAAAGAAAAGTGAAAACCAGGAGGTTAAGTCACTTCCTTGAAGTCCCCAAGCTACTACTTGCTGGAGCTTGTACTTAAATCTAGGTCTGTCTGGTACTGAAGTTCATATTCTTAACCACACTACTATATCAGATCCCGTGACATTCTGCATCTTTCTCTGTAACAACAGCTGTTTATACTAAGAAAGAAGTAGGGATTTAATTCCTATCATCTGAAATGCATGGTGAAAATACCACTACTAATCTTTCACACTATTTTCCTTACTTGCTCAGAGTGACTGGCTCATAGGAAGGTGACACAGAGTGAAGCTTCTAGTTTTGACAAACTCTTACTAACTCCTTACTGTGGAGAGTTTAGCAAACTCTTCATTGGCACATGATTTCACCCAAGTCAGAACAAATCAAGGAGAGGCTCTAGGATCAATTAAAAGTAGATTCCTGTAACCTGGCCTAAAGTTTGAGCCAGTGTACCAAACAAGCTCCTGGCTTCAACTAGCCAGAAAGAGAGAGAGAGAGAGAGACAGAGAGAAAGGGAGAAAAGGAGGGAGGGAGGGAGGGAAAGAGAGGAAG